TATATATATATATATATATATATATGTCGTGTATGTATATGTGCAATGGTTTCTGCATCAGAAGAGTGCGAGATAGCTTTGGAGATAAGTCTTGAAGGAGAAAAAGTTCAGTGGGGCCTGAGATGGCCTCGCCTCATTAGGTGAGGATGAGCCACTCAACTGATGGAATTGATTTAAAATAATCAAAATTTGATTAAGTATAATTTGGAAAAAGTGATTAAGTGTCAACTTTGATCAAATATTAGGATTAGATTCGATGGTCAAATTATGAATATAAATAAACCAACTTATTCTACTCGTTGAGTAGTTCGCCGTAGTATATATGAAGTCATATAACCAATTCCGAATGAATGAGAAATTGTAATCCAAATTTGGATTTAAAAAAAGGAAAAATTGGATAAATATGTCGCTCGATTAGCGAAAAGCGAGCGACAATGTCACTGCTCGAACGGTGGCGTTTTCACTCGAGCGAGATTCTAGCAAAAAGCCAACGACGTCAAGTGGTGTTTTGTTCAAAAGATCATGAGATATGGCTTGCAACCTTTCATCCTTAACCCTTCATACTACATAAATAGGGCATTTGGAATTTCCTATTCAAATGCCCTTTTCCACACACCAATGATATGCAATCACAGCATTTCATTCTCTCTTCTCTCTCGACCATATTTTACTCCTTCATGGAATAAAATACTGATTTTCTTCATTTGCATAAAAGGAGTACATATTCTGCTTCTGGATCGCTGTTCTTGTGTGTTGGAGTGCTATTCACACAAGAAAGAATTCGTTGTATCTTGGGAGTTGATTGTCAGAAAATGGTATGCACCGTAGCGGCGCAAATTCGACTTAAAGACAAAGTGTTCAATACTTGTCTTGACTTCATTTGTTTGGCATCGTTTTGTTGCATCATTGCCATTCTGATTTGAAGTTTCCTTGCCTTTATCCTGCCAAAGTTTCGAGTTGATTTCAAGGCGTTTTGTTTGTCACTTCATGACCAATATTTTCCAACACCAATGAGGCAGTAGCTTCCCATTTGACAGTTACATCACGTAGAACAATGCGACCATCTCACCAAAGTTTTTCTCGATTAGGAGGGAAAGTTGCAGACGTAGGTTTAAGCAGGAAGCACGTGTTGCCTCTCACACTAATGTATTTTTCCCTAAAGTCTATTTAAATGTACAGTGCAAAAGTGGAGGTAGATAAAAATTATGGATCCTAAATATGTTAATGAAAATGATATTTGACCAAATTTTAATTAATTATAAACTTTGTCAAACATGCACTAGTAATAATTGAAATTTTCATTTTTCTAGCTCCCTATGAAGAAAGGGTGATAGTAATTATAAGTGTCGAGTAAGCATATCTCACTTTGATTGGATACAATTAAGATGACATATATTGGATACCAAGAGTGCAATTGGCCCTTTACTTAAAGTTCACAAGTTTTCAAAAATATTGTACTTCATTTATTAATAATTATATTTTTAACATTTTTCTTGTGTATGTCTGACATTATTTTTCCTCAATAACACAATACATTAAATTTTCATATATACACTTGAACAGTATAACTTCTGCTACTTCTACTTTTCAAGAAAGTTATCTCAGATCAACTTCCTTCAGAAGTTCTTCTAATTAATCAAATCATTCCTAGAAAATTATCTAAATATATTCAAAAGCAATTTCTTAATCTTAAAATAGACATTTGACTTTTTAAAAGTCTTGTCAAATGGAACCCTTGGCATGTAGTAATATATGTTAAACCATAATTCTTAGTCAGAAACCGTAAATACAAACAATTCAATAACATAAACAACTCAGCTATCTACGACTCCTTCAATATTCATTTTTGATCGACTAAAATTGATCATCAGACCAATCACTTGGCTCAATCTCATAAAATAAACCATCGATGATTTGATCGATGAGCAAGTCGATCAACGTATTGCAACGAATGGTAAACATCCGACCAACCCCTTTACGTGCACTCGAAAACCATGCAAAAATTGCCGCACTCGTGACTGCCGCGAAACATACCCCCGCAGCTTCCTCAATACCTTGCAAATCCATTTTTCTGAAAACTGAATTTCCAGTCACCATCTCGATGCTCACTGTTGCTGCAAACACCAGCTGCAAGAGAGAAACTTAATTTTAATGCTAGGAGAAGGGAAGTGGATCGAGTGCATCTTTATTTGACGTGAGATTTATTAGATAACAATAGTGATTTGTTTTAAAGCACCGATCTTGAAATATGTTGGTTCATTTGAGTTCAGTCCAATCGAATTACTCGTTTGAGCTTAATAAATTCTCAGATGCCATACTAAAAGTCAGTCTTACCATGGCAAGGCGACCAGAAATGATCTCAAAATCTTGACTCTTCTTGGAGCTCTCTATATATTCAGACAAGATCGCGAAAAAAGGTGAAACTTGATCATCACCGTTAACAATATTCTTGGCCTTGATTACCCCCAGGCGATCCCCGCTATATGATCTAAGTGTACACAGCCTCGGCTGCAGCACAATTTTCCCATTGTCGGTGGCTGTTTGTGGCAGCTCCACCAGTTTGGGCTTCTGGACCTGCAGCGGTGCCGCCGGTTTATCCGACTTGAGCTCACAGAAAACCGGCCGCGCAGCCAAATCCATGGGAGAAGATGAGAATATATGTGGATGATTCAGAGGTGTGTGATTCTTCTCTTATTTCGTAGGAATCTGTTGTGAAGGGTCCACGTTCAGGAAAAGTTACGTCCAGTGAGGTGTAGTTTGGTGACTGGTGGTGGAGTTTGGGTAAGAACAATTGTAGACGTGGAGCTTTATTGGTTCTTTAACGTTGTTTTCAGTGGGGATAGTGAGCACCAGAGTGTGAAAGCATATTGAAAGTTCGCTTCTTTGAAAAGCAATGAGGATTACTATTATTATTATTATTATTTTGAATTATTATTAGTAGTTATTCAATTAAATTTTAATTTTATATGGTACCATCAAATGTCTACTTATTATTCGATGACATTAATTATTATGTAAAGTTAGCAAAAAAAACGTTGTTAGAAATATGTGGGTTAATATAGAATTTTAACCAAAAAATCTTATCAAAACTAAGGTTGAGTTACACTTCCTCATAAAAACGTGTCTAGTCTCTGATTCATAACTCGCCAAATTTGTTGACTGTAGTTAGAAAATAGAAAAAAATTATGAAATGTTTCTAATGATCTTTACAGCATAGAGAGTACAGTATATATACACTCACTTGGAGTGGTGAGCAAGAAAAAGAAAAACAAACTCAAGCTACACTATACGTAGGAATAAAATACAATTACAACAACTAGCAATGGTCCCACAATTGCACACTACCAGCTCACAGTACCCATGTGCACTCTACCGAATTACTGAGACCATCATGTGCTCACAATTCATTTATATCTTCAACATCCCCCTTCAAGATGGAGTTTACTATTTTACTCCAAGCTTGTCCTTGAGGAATAGAAACCTGGTTTGTACAAGTGGCTTAGTTAACAAATCTGCAATTTGATTTGAAGATGGAACATACTGTATACTCAACTTCTTTTCAAGAACTCTATCCTTGACAAAGTGTAAGTCCAGCTCAATATGTTTTGTTCTTGCATGATAGATAGGATTTGAGGCTAGGGCACTTGCACTGAGATTTTCACACCATAATATGGGAACTGATCCAGGATGCAATTTAGTTTCCTTAAGTAGTGATTCAATCCAAACTATTTCAGCAGTAGCATGTGCTAGAGCCCTGTATTTTGATTCGGTGCTAGACCTGGCCACAACTTGCTGTTTCTTGGACGACCAAGAGACCAATGTATCTCCTAGATAGACACAATAGCCTGCTGTTGATCTCCTATCATCAGGACATGAAGCCCAGTCTGCATCAGCAAAATCAGTAATGTGTATTCTGTCACTTCTTTGTATCCATAGACCTTGTTCAATTGTCCCTTTTAGATACCGAAAGATCCTTTTTACTGCCTTCCAATGCACATCTGAAGGTGCCTGCAGAAACTGGCTCATTTTATTTACTGCAAACGTTATATCAGGCCTCGTATGAGCTAGATATTGTAGTCCACCTTCGCACTTCTGTATAAAGAAGGATTTACCATCTTCTCACCTTCATTCTTGGAGATGTACTTGCCTACTGTCATAGGAGTTACACAGGGTTTGAGGTTCTCAAAATCGAACCTTTTTAGCAAGTCTTTTGTATATTTGATCTGACTAAGACTCATACTTGATTCATGCCTGCTTACTTCAATTCCCAGAAACTGATGCAGCTCCCTCATGTCTTTTAGTGCAAATTGTGTGTTCAACTTGTCAATAAAGCACTGTAACAATTTGTGATCATTTCCTGTGATCACTATATCATCAACATACACTAAAGCAAAGATGACTTGTTTTTTATTCATGTAAAAGAATAATGAGTTGTCTGCTTTGGATTTCATAAACTTCCATTCCAGAAGTGTTTTCTTCAATTTTTCATACCAAGCTCTAGGTGCTTGCTTGAGTCCATAAGGAGCTTTCTCAAGTTTGCACACAAAAGTGGGATTTTCCTTGTCAACAAAGCCTTCTGGTTGGCTCATGTAAACTTCCTCTTCTAGCTTTCCATTTAGGAAAGCATTATTTATATCTACCTGTCTGATACTCCATCCTTTTGAGACTGCTAGTACTAGTATTATTCTTAACGTTGAGGCCTTGACTACTGGACTAAAAGTCTCATAAAAATCAACACCTGGAGTTTGCAAAAAACCTTTTGCCACTAGTCTAGCTTTGTACTTCAATATCTTCCCTTCCATGTTGCTTTTTATCCTAAATATCCATTTATTTCCTATCACCTTTTGATTGACCTGTGGTGGTACTAGTTTCCAAGTCCAGTTCTTCATCAATGCTCTATATTCTTCCTCCATTGCTCCTTTCCAATTTTTACTTAACAAAGCTTCAGATAAATTATTTGGTTCTTCTCTCAATTGATGTTCTTTACATTGAGCTGAGTAAACCTTTGGCTTGAAGATACCAGCTTTACTTCTGGTAGTTATGGGATGTTCAACAATCTATTTACTCAATTCCACCACTCTCTGATTTGAATCATCATTTATTTCAGCATGCTCCAATTGATCATTGTCCATTCCACTTTGATATTCACCCAAAGTGTGCTCATTACCTGTTTCTAAGCATTCATTAACTTCTGGTATTAAACCATCAGACCTTTCTGGATGATCAGCACTGTGATGTGTTGCTACAGGAGTAGTGTCGGATGAGCTGAACCTTTTGAGTGTATTGGGTTGTAGTTCAAGGATGTATTGAAAGGCAGGTATTGAATTATGATTTCAGATTTCTGTGAATTATCAGTTTTGTTGAGAAAACCAGATTTGAATGGGAACTCCTTTTCATTGAAGACTACATGTCTAGAAGTGTAAACTCTACTTGTTGGACTAAGGCACTTGTACCCTTTATGTGAGTTGCTAAATCCTAGAAACACACACTTTGTAGAATGAAAGCTGAATTTGTGTTTTTCATATGGTCTAAGGCAGGGAAAACATGCACATCTAAAGATTTTTAAAGATTTGTAGTCAACTTCCTCATTATATAGAACTTGGCAAGGCGATTTCATTTTTAGGACTGGTGTTGGCAGTTTATTGATCAAGTAGGTAGCTGTGTGGAAAGATTCCCACCAATAGTTTAAGGGCATGCTAGCTTGGGCAAGGAGTGTTAGAGCCGTTTCTGTTATATGTCTGTGTTTTCTTTCAGCTCTATCATTTTGGACTGATGTGTATAGATAGGAAACTCTCATGTCTATACTGGATTTCAAGGCTAAGTCAGTGAATGCTCTAAACTCACCTCCCCAATCTGATTGAAGTGCTTTTATCTTCCTATCAAGTTTGTTTTCAACTAAGGCTTTGAATTGAGTAAACACATTTAATGACTTTGACTTGTTTCTCATAGGATATATCCATGTATACCTACTGCAGTCATCAATAAAAAGGATATAGTACCTAAAACCACAAGTAGAGTTTAGGGGTGCAAGACCCCAGACATCTGTATGGACTAGATCGAGAGGAGCTGAAGCATGTGAGACAGATGAATTGAATGGCAGGGAATGCGATTTACCAAATTGGCAAGCATCACAGAAACGATTGATTTTATTGATATGAATTTTTTCATTACAAGATTTGAGTACTTGTGACATCACATGATCAGCAAGATGTCCAAGCCTCATGTGCCACAATTTAAAACTAAGCTCAGATTCTTTGACACTTTTAGGAATATCAGACTCTTTGGACTCAGCTACAAAGGCAGGAAAGTTCAATTTATTTGGAAGGGCTGACACTTAGTAGGAAGATCTTTTGTCTTGATCGTTTTGATGCTCAAATTGATACAGTCCATCCTTAAGCTTCCCTCGTAGCAACTCCTCCTTCGTTTGCTTGTCCTTGACAACACAAGAATCAGAATGAAATTCCATAAAAACATTGTTATCAGAGATCAATTGTGAGACACTAATCAGATTTTTCTTAATTGATGGCACCAGTAATGTGTTACTGAGAATCAATGACAATGTGTGAGATATGAAGTTTATTTCCATTGCCAACAATAAGACTTTCCTTACCACCATACTCACTTACTTCAGTCAGATTTCCTTTCTCAACAGTGACGTGATTGCTTGCTCCTGAATCCGCATACCAGGCTGGATCTGTAACAATACTTGGGGAAGCTACAAAGGCAGCAGGTCCAGAGAAATTGTTTTGATGCTTCTGGTCAGGTTTCGTACCCATGTACCTTTCATCATAACGATTGAAACACATCTCTGCTGAGTGATTTCCCATTCCACAAATTTGACATGGGCCTTTGCTACCAGGTTGCCTGCCTCCTCTTCCTCTACTTCTTCCTCCTCTGTAGTTGCTGTTTCTTCCACCAAAATTAGACCTACCTCCTCTGCTCATGTTTGGCTTGTGAACAAAGTTTGCTGAGATTTGACTTAAGTTTACTGAGGCCATGCTATTTTTCACTGCATTAAGATGTTCAATCCTGCTTTCATATGTCATAAGTGTAGATTGCAACTCATACCAGGAGATAAACTCTCTACTGTTGATCTGGACCACAATAAGAGTGTAATCCTCATCCAAGCCAGCTAATACTTGGGTTACAAGATTACTGTGAGGAACACTTTTTCCAGCAATCTCGAGATTATCTGCTAAATGCTTAATTGTGTTGAGATATTCATCAATACTCATTGATCCTTTCCTTGTTCTCTGAAGTTCTCCAACAAGGAATGTTACTCTTAACTTGTTCATAACTCCAAAACTTTCCTGGACTGCATTCCATAGATCGCAGGAGCTTGAAGATCCCATTACTCTCATGGCGATCTCAGGTGTCATTGATGAATAAAGCCAACCCATCAATAGTTGGTTAGTAGACATCCACCTTCCATACTCAACATTTGGTGTCAATTCAACAGTTACATCAGTGGTACCTATGGTTTGTGTTCCCATGAATTCTGGGGGGCATTTTCTTGTTCCTAGGATGAATCCTTCAAGGTTATGACCCTTAATGATGGGCATAACCATATTCTTCCATAGCAGGAAGTTGTTCCTGTCAAGCTTCACTGGTGGTATTTGGGTAAGGCTTATCCCAAACGTTGACATCTGGTTTCCTCCCAACATTGGAGGTATCAATGTGCTAGAAACTGGTTGAGCTGATTGTGCATGGTCGCTGGATCTGATGTTAGCCATTGAAGCTCTGATACCAAGTTAGAAAATAGAAAAAAATTATGAAATGTTTCTGATGATCTTTACAGCATAGAGAGTACAGTATATATACATTC